AGTACACCCTACTCTTATATTCAAATTTCACCTTTTTCTGGATTTTCCTGTTTCCTATGTAAATAACAATCAAAATCACACCCTCATCTGTGTCTAACTAAACAACCCTGAAATGATATGCATACACTCACTGGACACTTTTTTTTAGGTATTCCCAGTGTTATGGAAGGACATTGTGAAGGACAGATGATATACGCCATGGCTCACAAAGAAGGACTTTATTAAACCCAAAAAGGAACACAAGAACACAGTAGCAAACATGGCAAGAACCACTACAGACACACAATAACTGACTGGGGAACAGAATAAGGGCAAGCACTTAAATACACTGAACAAAGGTTTCAACAAGATACAGGTGTGAGTAGTAACAAGCACAAGGAACACAAGCACAGGTAAAGGCAATCAACAGATATAAGATCAAAACACCAAGGAGACTAGAAAACAAGGGTAACTGAACATTCATAAAAACAGGGAACAACAAGGAACCACAACACAAATTCATAGATCAAGAAAATAAAGAAATATAAATGGTCAAATTTACCACCATCGATAGAAGTGAAAGCCTGGATGACACAGTGCTGGCTCAGCCTATCAAGCCATGCAGTGGCCCAGGGAGCAGGAGAACATATTTGAGTGCTAACTACAGGAAACAAGGGGAACACAGAACGGGATGACCAGCGACATCAGCTGGTCAAACAGGGGTTTGACAGACATAATGAAAAGGGGGCAGGACAAGGGCAGATCCTAACACCCAGGCCCTTGTAGAAAGAGTCACATCACAACAATGGACTCGAGAGAGCCTTGCAATAGTGCCCGGAAGTTAGCAGCAAATACTAGCAGAGCAGCAGAGTTGCAGTAGAATAAACCATTTGTGATGCACTTTAAAAGGCTAAGAAATGTTAAAAATCAGATTGTACATTATCAGCACACCAGTATCAAATTAAGATGTGCATTAAAGCATGTTAGTGGATTATCGCCCACTAAATTAGCAGATTCAGGGAATGTTAACAGATAATAGATACTGGAAAAAGACAACAACATGTAATATTAACCATGAACAACATACTAATATTACATAATAAAGGGGCATTGGTGGCTTAATAGTTAGGGAAGCGCACTCGTAATCGGAAGATGGCAGGTTCAAATCCCCGACCAGCAAGACACCACTGAGGTACCCTGAGCAAGGTACCATCCCCAAGCACTGCTCCCTGGGTGCTGAATTAGCTGCCCCCTGCTATGTCACAAAAGTCACATATGGGTTAAATGCAGAGGACACATTTCGTTGTTGTGCACTGTGTGCTGTGGTGTGTCAACAATGACAAATAAAAAATCATATTCTGTTGCCTTGAGGCTATTTCATCCAATGTTCACCTTCACCTTGCACCCCAAATCTCAACTCCCTGTATTTTGCAAGCCATTCCCTCCTTATTTTTAATAAATGAAACATTAAGCTTCCCATGACACGGTCTTTGTGAAAAAGTGTAAATGCAGTGTTTAAATATGGAATACCACAGATTTTTCTTGTTGTAATCTTTAGTTATTCTAAGATTTCGCATGCTGACTTGACCTCTCTGTGTCACTGGGGAAACCGTACATTTGTAGCCCTTTCTCTGAGCGATTGGAGCATCCCCATGCAGCCAGCAAACCATGCTGGAGACTATATGCAAGGACAACATGGAGGAAAGCGCACAGACAAACTGCTTGACACGCCATTCACATTTCTGTGTTTATTAGTGATTAAGTCGTTGAGATTGGAACTACATACACATGTGGGTGTGCTGCATAAATCAATGCATTTATGGACTGTTAATTACTAGAAATTACTGTTCTGTCTCTTTGTATTTAATGCATTCAAATTGCCCGCCAAACACTTTCTGGAGCTATCTAAAGACTACATGAACCATGTGATGATGAAGCATTTATGTGACTCTCTCTATGTGGCTCTGGGTACACTTGTTCAACTGCGTGTTAAAGCAAATATCTAATCAGGTAATCATATGTCAGAAGCACTATGTATAAAATCATTCAGTTACAGGTCAGCTTCAGTTAATGTTCACATCAAACACCAGAATGGGGAAGAAAGGTGATTTAACGTTAACTGTGATTGAATGTGGCATGGTTGTTAGGACCAGAAGAAACTGCTGATCTACTGGGATTTTCACACACAACCATCTGTAGGGTTTACAGAGAATGGGTCAAAAAGGAAAAAAACATCCTGTGAGAGGCAGAAGTCTGAAAAGAATGGCCTGACTGGTTCAAGCTGATAGAAAGGCAATAGTAAATCAACTAACCACTTGTTACAACCAAGCTATGCAGAACAGCATTCCTGAATGCACAAGATGTTGAAACTTCAAGCAGATGGGCTACAGCAGTAGAAGACCACACTGGGTGCCACTCCTGTCAGCTATGAACAGGAAACTGAGGCTACTGAGGCTCACCAAAATTGGACAATGGAAGATTGGAAAAACGTTGACGAGCCAGATGAGTCTCGATTTCTGCTGTGACATTCAGATGATAGGGTCAGAATTTGGCATAAACAGTATGAAAGCCGGGATCCATTCTGCCCAACAGGCTGCTGGTGGTGTAATAGTGTGGGGGATATTTTCTTGGCAGACTTTGGGCCCCTTAGTGCCAATTAAGCATCACTAAAATGTCACAGCCTACCTGAGTATTGTTGTTGACCATGTCCATCCCTTTATGACCACATTGTACCCAGCTTCTAATGGCTACTTCCAGCAGGATAACATGCCAGGTCACAAAGCTCTTATCATCTCAGACTGGTTTCTTGAACATGAGCATGAGTTCACTGCACTCAAATGGCCTCCACAGGTCTTAATCCAACAGAGCACCTATGGAATTTGAAGGAACAGGAGATTCACATCATGAAGGTGCAGCAGATAAATATGCAGCAACTGTGTGATACTATCATGTAAACATGGACCAAAGTCTCTGAGGAGTGTTCCAAGCACCATGTGGAATCTGTGCCACAAAGGCATGAAGAATTAAGGCCGTTCTGAAGGCAAAATGGGTCCAAATTGTACTTAATAAAGTGGCCAGGGAGAGTGTGTGTGTGTGTGGGGGGGGGGGTGTGTGTTTGTGTATGTGTGTTACTCATTTCACGCCATTCCAAATTTAGTTTGCCCCAAAGCGGGGGGGTTAGTGTGTGTATATCAGCATACAGACATTTAATTTAATCTTCATTTTAAAGATATTGATAGATGAAGGTAATATAGCAAACATCATCCACCAGTCACATTTTGTACTTTTTTGCATTTTGTATAATTTAAATACACATAAATGCAAATTTCACATATGGTACTAGTAAGAATATCATTACATTTATCATTCCCTCAAATCTAAACCTAAAATTAGAATCAGGTGCACTAGATCAGGTACAAATAATAAGAAGCTTATTATAGAGGATTTTGGGGGCATTGGTGTTATTTTAGCCTAAGGTGTTAGGATTGGTAGCTGTTTTTACTTGTTTGCTTTTTGCTGGTGTGCTACCACCATCAAAGGAGCTCTCTAAGGCCACCAGAAAGAAGGTTCTAGACCTACCAACGCTAGGTTCTAGATGCATATGACAAGGGATTTAAAAAGAGCTCTGGAAAATTGGAAATAAACCACTCCAACGTCTGGAAGATTATCTACAAGTGAAGATTTCAAACAAGTGCCAACTTGTCCAGGTCAGGCCGCCCAAGCAGGTTCAGCCTGAGAGCAGAATGCAAGATGCTGAAATGTCTTCTAAGAACCACAAAATATCATCGCGGGACCTACAGGTAGCATTGCCACTGTTGATGTCACCACCAGCTTAGAAAGAGATTGCACAAATTAGATCTACATGGCAGACGTGCCAGAAAGAAATCACAAAGAAATGGCTAGAAAGAAAGTAATGGAAAGTTCTGCAAAGGGGAAGTCAAACCCCTCAATCACAGCACAGACTGGTATACAGTTGTAAGAAATGCCTGCTTGAGGTTGTTTCTGCTCATGGGGACAATATTAGCTATTAGTCCAGGGTGTCCATACTTTTTCCTGGAGAAGGAAATGTTATTCTGCCCAACAATTCAGGCTGGTGGTGGTGTAATAGTGTGGGGGATGTTTTCTTGGGTGACTTGAAAGGCGCCTTATAAATAAAATGTATTATTATTATTATTATTTGTTTATTTTCTGGTAAATAAATAAAAGTGCAGAGTCAAATTTTTGTTCAACTACATTACCTTCATCTACTGATTCTATTTAACTGCTTGATATGTCCAGCTACCAAGGTAAAAAGGGAAAAAACCCTTTGTATGGGATATATTTTTTTCCACAACTCCAAAAACAATGCAACTAAAATTTCAAACCTTTGCAGCTGAAAATCAAACCATCTTTTACCTGCTTATCCTAATCAGGATTGCAGCGTCTAGTTTTTAATGAAAATAGATTTTTGTAATCTATATACTACGTAAGTGGCAGTCAGTGTAACTCATTCTTACAGTATATTTAGTCATTTAAAGAAACTGCCGGGTATTCTGACGAGTTGAGCTGCCTATCAAGACGTGCTATTGAGCCTTTCTGCGAATGTGCAGTTCCACCGTTTTGGGATTAGGGTTAGGTTTTAGAGGTTAGGATTATGGTTAATTAGGGTTAGGGTAAGAGTTAGGGTTAGGGCTATCGATTAGCACTACAGTAGCCTAACTCGACAAAGTAGCTCAACTCGACAGAACACCGGTCTCCCTATTATGCGCCCTTCAAATCGGTATAAAAAGGAAATTGTTAAATGACGTCATGTTTAGTACACTTTCCAACAAGTCAGTGACAGCTGTAAACGTAAAGACGTTACGGTGACATTATTTAACACAGTAACGTAACATGAATGAGACAGGTGCAACCCGTCACTATTGTTATTTGGCAGAGTATGAGAATAGGGACGACACGCTCAGGTTTCCCTGCTGACTTTGTCTCGCATGTGATCGGAGGAGTGCCCTTTCTCAGCCAGTCAGCTCTTAGGATTCATAAATCCCATATCTAAGGCTGTAGGTTTCTGGTTACTCCTGCTCTTACTTGGGCTTGCAGCTCGGCTGTGCCATTGTAAAATATGCTATCTGATCTACATTTAGTCTTAGAGAATCTGCTATGAGCCTTTGGAACTAAAGATTCCCTCTTTGGGAAGGTAGGAGGGAATCTATGTTAGTTCGTCACTTTCACCAGTACAGGATGGACTTTGGATTCTGTTGTTGATTATTAAATATAAGCAAAACCGATAACATCTGACTGAATAAGAAAGTGTTGTGTGGGCTTAACGAAATGCGTATTTGAGCAGTTTTTGCAGGGATGTTACTTATTAAATTGTATGTGATTCCACTAAAGTATCAAGCGCGTTATTATAAAAAAAAAAACGACAGTCGAATTAGCTTGCCTCTCGGTGTTCACGGGGATTTAGCCTTGTTTTTGTCCTTGGAAAAAAAAATACATATATATCATTCTTTCACTTCTTTACGACTTCCAACATTATATTTAACTGCTAAAAGTAAAGACTTTTTTCATACTGGTTCTATTTCGGTGAGGCGCCTGCGCGAGGCGTGTGAGTCACGCGAAAGCCACCTCACAATAAAACACATCCTTCCACCTTTCGAAGAAACAGTAAACAGTTTTTTGTGATAGGCACATATGGATAGTTTTTATACTTCAAAACAAACTATAAACAAGCGAGTTAAAAGAAACCACAATTTTCTGCAATTATATTTCTGTTACTTGGCTTCTCGTTGTGTAAGAAGTAATATTGGGGACTTTGGGGATTATTTTGTCTTTGCTGTGGCGGATGAAGATTTCTGAGGGCGGCGATGTGGTCAAGATGGCGGCGCCCTGTGGAGTAGAGCTACTGTAATAGGTAAATAGGTATATTTATTTAATCTGTTCCACACTGTTTAAGCTTATAACCTTACGTCATAGCGTACATTCAAAGTTATTTTGTTAGCAGTGTCCGTTCTCTTTTACTAGAGTTGTCACAGTGGTTTCTTTTAATTTATACCCATCTTTGCCTTGCTGACTATAGCATCGTATTGATAGATACTGGACTTGGCTACGAAACAAGTTAGGTGGCAGTGACTGTAGTTAACAAGCTAAAACGCACGATATTTTTCTTTAAAGGTAAAAACCGTTTAATTTCAGTTATGAGATGTTGTCTATGGCTCGTGCAATGCATAGCGTTGGTAGGTCAGCTGAAATGCTTGTAGTTCACAAAGATGCAAGTTATGTATTTTCTCTATTATTTAACAAAACAAAGCAAAGTTAATTAAATTATTTGAAATCTATTGAATAATGTTAACTATTTACTGCATCACGTGTCGTCGTATCGACTCCTGTTTAGTTGTAGCAATGCGAAGTGGTCAGTTCTAATTTGTCCTTTTAATGTCAACCTGGCTGCAAAATTCGGCTATTCTACTCTCCTTTTCACCCATTTTCAATGTCTAAGCCAGTTTTGATAAACGTGAAAGCGACATGACCAACCATTTTTTTATTGACCCAACAGTTTTAAGTAATTCCTTAGGTACCATACCTAATGTTAATTCTCATTACTTAAAGAGACAGCTAGCTGCGTTAAAGCAAATCGATAATTACCGCGGTGTTTCTTCTGTATGACAGTGTAACTCATTACAGGTAGGAGCCTGTGTAGGTAGGAGCGATTGAAATAATGGTATACCCCGGAAGATGATTACAAACTGAAACACCATCTTTAACCTGATACAATACAGCTGAAGCTACAGAGGCCAAAAAACATCGATCCACTATGCATCTGTGTCTCTGTTGAGTTTTAAACCACTGAACTTCTTTTTGGGTATGTAGGCCTTTGTCTGCACATTGAGTTCTAGTATTTGTATGGACCAAACTTTAAACATTTGAGAACTATACCGAATTTGCATAAATCACCTTCACTCCCAGCTGTAGAGGTCCACAGTATGTACAAGGCTTAAAACAACCTGAAGGTGCGTAATCTCAGAAGAATAACAACATGAATAGCTACGGTGTTCACTTCCGTTCCAAAGGGTTGGAGCTACCAGTCCCCACTGATAAGATTTCTCTGTATTTAAAACTGACATTACAGCAGTTCTTCTGGCAAACCCTGCAAACAACATAAAATAAGTGTTTTCAATATTATGATTTTTATATTCAGAATGGAACATGTGGGCAGTGTGATGGCTCAGTAGGTAGCATTGCTGCATCATTCCATCAAGCTTGAAGGTTTGAGTTTGTGGAGTTTGCAAGTTCATCCTTGTACTGTACTGTGCTGTGTGTATGTGCATGCGTGTCTATGTGCCTTATACCATGTACTGCCTGGGCTAGACCCCAGACTCCCCTGCTTCCTTGTCCAGGGTGAGTGGTAAGAAGGTGAATAGGATGGACTCTAATCTGTGGTCAGGGTCTGAGCATTAACAAAACTAAATTTAGATTTAGGCTAGAACTTTGACTTCCCATTAAATCTTAGCTTTTAAAACATTGATATGTGAGTGTACTTGATGTATGTGGTGCCACATTTATTTGCATATCCAGTTTTTAATATGGCAGCTGCATAAATTTCAGATTACAGTGTTTTTTACTTGTAATTGAGGGTCCTCTACGTTTCCAAGGCTTGTCACTTTGTTTGCTTACCTTCAGATCTTTATTTTTAAAACACATGAATAAATGTATTTTATGTCCTGTTCAAGTACTAGTGTGGCTACATTCAGAGGAGAGCTTTTCAGTAACCCCTTACAACTTGGCTGGTCTTATTCAAAAGCAGTTTTTAATTTTGAGAATTTACTGTGAATGTGGATTCCAAGGGCACTCAATTTTTAGGGAGTCAAGTTATCTGTTTAGTGGGTTTACCTAATTTAACCAGAAAATGAAGCATGTGATTTATGCATATTTGGTGAATAATTTGAACCAAGGTTTAACTTGTCATCACTTCCTCATTTGTGCATGAATAAGTTAAGACAAAGTGGACTGAGAGTTATTAGATTTTAGATGTTTCTTTGGCTGTGTGGCAAGTGTCTTGAAATCCTTTCTTGCCCAGCCACTGTTTAAAGGACCATCAGTATACAAATAATAAATATACAGTTAGTTCAATAGTGCAGTGCAATGAAAAATTATAGAGGTCACATACAGGGCAGGGGTATGTAGTGCTTGATTGGTCCAGGTTTAGCTTGGAGGAAGAAACTGTTAAAACTCTTAAATCTGGCAGTCAGTGATCTAATGTTGTGGGAAATCCTACCAGGGTGAGAACAGCTCATGCCTGGGCTGGTTAGGTTCCCATAATATACTTTTTGCTTTGTTGCTACAGCAGTTTATGGAAGGCGATTTGGTCCCTGGGGTCTTCTTGGTCGACCTCATCACCCTCTGTATGGCCTTCCTGTTCAGAGCTGCTGCTTCATTATACCATGCTGTAATACTTCTGGGGCCAGTACCACAAAGCAGGGTTTCTTGCTTAGCTGGATAACTTGTTGGATTTAAGGTAGTCTGGGGTAAATATAAGTGAACAAAGAAAGTCCATTTAGCCCAGACTACCTTAAATCTGACAACTTATCCGGCTAACCAAGAAATCCTGCTTCCTGAAACAGGCCCCTGGTGAGAACCCTTTCGGTGTTATTGTGATCGAAGGTTGTTTGTGTGGCTTAGCTGATCCACCCCCACTTCCTAAGGTGCTGACGAACTTTTATTGGGGTTTGATCGGAAGTTCTCTTTCCAGCTCGGCCTCTGTCATCCTTTTGTCACCTACTTAATCTGCTGGCGTGGTGGTGCAGTGATTAGCAGTGGAGTGTGGTTTGAGTCTCCGCTGTGACTCCATGCATTTGGAGTTTGCATGTTCTCCCCGTGCCGTTGTGGAGTTTCCACTGGGTTCTCCAGTGTTCCTGCCACAGTCCAAAAACATGCTAAGGTGAATTGGAGCTGCCAAATTGCATGTGTGTCCTGCGATGGGTCGCCACACCTGTCCTGGGTTATAATCTGCTTTGCACCTGTAGCTACTGTGATCAGGGCCCCTGCAGCCCTGCATAGGATCAGTGAGCATAGAAAACGGATGAATGCTGATGTGCCGCTATTGACCCAAACCACAAGATGCTTGTCCTCTCTCTTTGGTTATTATTAAATGGGGAAAATGCTGCCGTGTGATTGCGCTTTTGGGAAGGATAAAAAGTTTTCCGCTTTCCAGGTGAGCACACTTGTTAACATTAAGCCGGTTGGAGGTGTTTGTCTCCCCCTCTGGCAAACAGGAGAATATGTAGCTTAGTGTGTTTTGTAATGTTTGGGTGACAATTTGTAAAAACATCCATTATGCAATTAAATTACTGATAAGATAACCTGAGCATAATGTTTCTTTTTAGAAAATTTAAGAAATCTGTGAAAATACCAGTCCATAAAAATTAGTTTGCTGTTCAGTGGGGACGCTGCCTGCTGCTGTTCTTGTGTTGAACAATACAGTTGAATACAGTGGCATGTATGGCTGAAGCTAATTGGTAGCTGAGGTTGGTAATGCTATATGTGAGCGCTAGGCTAATGCTAGGAGTTTATAATGCATCTTCTCTGGGAGCAACTCTGCTCTGATGTTTCCAACTCTGTTTGCCTACTGCTGCTAAGAATGAAATCCAGATATCAATGTACTGGCATATGTGACCTTTAATCTTTACAATTTGAAAAGCGTGGCTCACTTAACTATGTGCATCACATCCTTTCTGGGCTTTAACTTAGCTGGATTAACTGATCATTAATTAATAAGGCTCGCTTTTGCCTGTTTGGTGCACTGGAGGGGAAGCCTTGCCTTTCTCATGGCTGTATCAGTCTTCATGTTGACTGTGTTCTTAACTTCCTTTCCCAGCAGTGGTGCCTGGCCCAGGGACTGGGACTCGCCCCAGTGGGACAGGAAGCTGCATCACTGGAGCCTCCCCCCACCCCACAATTCACTTGACCACAATTGCTCTTGCATCTACTCAACCCCCCCCCTTTTCGGTAGCCATGTCGCGGGAGCAGTTCAACATCGGGGATGTCCTCCCTCTTCTGGAATCCTCAGACTTGCACGAACTTGATGAGATCAAGAGTTTAATTAACGAGCACCTCAGCACAGGTTGGTCCTCTTCCTCCTTCGCTTTTGGGGTAAATCGGTCGTTAACTTCCATGTTTAACATTAGGCCTCTTTTGTCTTATCCTCTGTGTGTGTGTGTGTGTGTCTGTGTGTGTGAGACAGATCGTGGCTCTGTGCTCCTGAACAGCCTGGTCGATTACTACCTAGAAACGGGTTCCCCTCAGACCCAGCACATCCTGTCCTCTGTGAGGGAACCACACGACAAGGTAATTAACAGTCAGCGGCCTGCCATCCAGTCACCTGCTTCTTAGTTGGGTCGTCGCCTTCGTGAGGAGGGACCAGGACACCACAAATAAGCTTGTAGTGCAGTGCATCCCTCCAGGAGCTTACAGTTGTCACGGTGCTTTGCTGCCACCTCTCCCAGTTATGACCCCAGCTTCCCTGGCCAGTAACCACACCCTCCTTTTCATCTCTCAGCATCTTCTGGAAAAGATAAATGAATGCATGAACAAGCAGGCATGCCGCCTTCACGCACTCACCCTGCTGGGACACATCATCCGCAAGCAGCCTCCCTGGATCCACAAGATTGCGCGCTTCCCTCTTTTCTCCTCGCTCCTGAAATGCCTGAAGGTAAGCAGGTCCTGGGGGTGAGAAGGTCCCAGCAAAGTTGGTGTGAAACCAGGAACAAGGTTTCTACTCACAAGCACGCTGGTCGGCTGGAGACCAGCTTATGGGGGAAGATCTTTTATTTATTTATTGTAGAATCTTGTATTCTGGCATCACTGTCTCGCATTCTCTTGTTGTCATGGCAGTGATTGTGCCTTTCCTTTTCTCTCGGTCGCACAGACGGACTCCAATATCGTAGTGCTTATAACCGGGGTCCTGGTGTTGATCACCCTGCTGCCCATAGTCCCGCAGGTCGGCAAACAGCATCTTTGCGAGTTCTTCGACATCTTCGGCCGCCTGGCAGCCTGGAGTCCGAAAAATCAAGGTCTGCGACTCTGGTTTAACGCTGTCTCCGTGGTTTTGTGTCAAAGTCATATTTAAGTTTGCCAGCCCTTATTCTGGACCGTAGAACCGAAGGCTTGGACATAATCTGTATGAGAGAGGAGGAGATTTCGGGGGATGATGGTGGGATTATAGTGGAAATACGAGATGAGGCGGCACGCTGATGTTTGCTCGCTCTCTGGCCATCTGCTGCATGCAGGTCACGTGACAGACGTTTATCTGATCCACCTGCATGCCAGCGTCTACTCGCTTCTTCACCGGCTCTATGGCATGTTCCCCTGCAACTTCGTCTCCTACCTGCGCTCTCACTACAGTATGAAGGAGAACATGGACACATTCGAGGAGGTGGTCAAGGTGAGCCTGAGGCCCTAGTCTGCACGGTCAAACATGGCAGAATGGTATTTTACATTTTATACATTTAGCAGTTTTCTCCAAAGTGATGTGCAAGAGAGGCAAATAACATTCATGCTATCAAGGAGCAGCTATGCTGAGCTTCCAGTGAATGTGCAGTGTACGCAGCACTGGAATTAGAGCTACACAGCAGCTTCTAACAAAGCAAGAACCTAGTAAGACTATTCAGGGACTAGAAGTGCAACATAAGACCATTCGAGGAACGTAACGCAAAAGCTGGACTCTGTTCAGCAGACACGGTCACGATGGGTTTCCTTCTGTTATGTTTAGTGAAGGTATGGATGATGATTCTGTCTCCGTTGTTGTGCTTTCATTTACATCGTAGCCCATGCTGGAACACGTGCGGATACACCCGGAATTAGTGACTGGAACCAAGGACCATGAGCTCGACCCCACAAGGTGAGCAACACGCTGATCCTGACCGTCAACAGAGTGCTCTGCTGCTAGGCGAGTCTCATTTTCTCAGAACCGCATCGCTCCTCGTGCGCCTTGGCAGGTGGAAGCGGTTCGAGGTCCATGACATCGTCATCGAGTGCGCCAAGGTGTCCCTGGACCCTAAGGAGGCTTCTTGTGAGGAGGGCTACGTGAACATTCCAGAGCGCAGTCACCCTCCCTTGAAGCTTCGTTACCTGGACTGCACCACCAGCCCCTACTCTGACCTCCACACCAGCTTCGGTCAGGCCTCACCCACAATCCTCGGCACCTGACAGCTCTGTGTCTTTAACTCTCTCTGTAGTAACTGCCTTTTCCTTCCTTATTTTCTCTCTTCCTCAGGAAGCTCTTCCTCAACTTCTTTTTCTGCCCTACGCCAACCCCTCCCACTACCCCTGACCTTACCGTTCCATCAAAGCCCCCAGAGCTCCCGTCGGCAGGTAAGAGCCCCCTCCCCACTATACAGGGGTGGAAATGACCAAACCGTACTATAGGCCCTTCCTGCAGGGCGTGATGATGTGGTGGCAGATCTGCTTACGACCTGAATGATCACCATTGGGCTGTGAAGTTCAGCTTGATATAGCCATACCAGCAATCTAAAAGGACTGTGGTGTTTATAATTTTAATATTTTATCATTTAAATCTTATTTTTATTTAGATTTACTTTGTCGTATCTGTCATGAAGACAGATGTTATAGGTAAAAGTGTGTAATGTAAATCCCTGTAAATTTTCAATGTCGGTCAAGACTGAAGGTAGCATTCAGAAGTAGCATTAATTCTTGAGGAGTGTGATAGCTTGGTATTCTGCCATGTGAATGAAATTGACACTTCTCTTGTTTACTCTGACACTTCTCATCTTCTCTCTTCATTTTTAGTTCCTTCTCAAGTGTCTGTTATATGTAGTGGGAGATTTAGTGCTAATCTTCCTGCCCCCACCGCCAAACCCAATCACATATTCAAGTGTTGTTTCCCCACTTGGCTAACAGACCCTGGAAATGACATTGGCGCACCGACACACTCATGCAGCTCGTTGAGCTCCATTTTCCCACACTAGCGATATTTTTAAAACCCTGCCAGTATCTCTTCTGTTCTGAAAGCAGTCACAAGTGTTTTTTTGTTCTTTTTCTTTATTTTCTGTAAAGATTTGTTGGCTAGGTGCTAATATTAACCAACCTTAAGTGAGACTTGTGATCCGCATGATTTTCTTTTGAGTTGTGCTACTGAGTGAGGTGTGTTTAACAGAGGGAGGCTACCTCTCTCCCTGCCTGTATGAGAACACTGGATTGTTTATGCAAAAACACAAAGGATGAAATGAGGGAGTGCAATGCAAACACTTATTACCGCATGACCGCCGTCTTGCGTCATGTGACTAGCTGCCATTCAGCTTTGGATTCCTGAGGCTCTGTGTCGCTCTCGTCTCTGATCGATTTTGTCTGCGTGTGTGATCGCCACATTTGGAGCAGAATGGTGATGTCGGCACCTCTGGAGGGAAGGACCTCATCTGGAGCCCCTCCTCCGTGTGCGGCATGACCACGCCCCCATCATCCCGCGGCATTTCTCCTACGAACGTCACTGACCTGTCCCAGAGTGCCTCCTACCTTCAGGGCCGTGTGCACGGCATGCTGGGTGAGCCCTTTTGTAGCCGGTCTGATGGGCTTCTGACTTTTAATGCATGGATGTTTGCATGTCCGGGTTCCTCACGAGTCCCTTTGACAGCAGGTGGCAAACGCACCCCTTGCTCCAGTACCCCGGGTACCTCCTCTTCAACGCCAACGCTCTCTGATGAGTTTATACACATTTCTCTGGCACCCAGTGTAGCGGAGCCACCAAACAAGGTACAGTGCAGATTCACACTGCATGCCAACAGGTGGGGGGGTGTTGGAGAAGAGTATTAAGGGCCTCGCAAAGTAGAACTTTGCTGGAGATTTAACAGAATTAGTAAGTGTTCTGGAAGTGTGTGTCTTAACACATGTTGTTGGTGAGGGTATTGTATTGTACTACCCGAATAACTGTGGTCCAGTTTTATGTAATTCTTTTTGACTTGGACTTGTTGCAAGTTGCTCTCCATGCTCCTGAGGAAGGGTTGTGTTCTGGTAACTGAAGTTACCCACAAAACTACTCCATGACAGAGAGAGGTGGAAAGGTCAGGTCCAAGAAGTACAAATCCAGACCAAGGTTTTGTTTCAACCAACCAAGAGTCACTCAGGCACAGATTACTCAGGTGGCTGGTTGAAACAAAATCTTGGTCTAGATTTCTACTTCCTGGACCTGAACTTTCCACCTCTGTCTGTCATGGATTAGCTTTGTATCTCCCCCAACACTGCCTGAGAGGTCTAAAGCCCATGTTCATCTGCAGGATGGGCGAGCCTTGGAGCACCCCAGACCCAGCCTGGTGAGACAAGAGCCTGTCAAAGAGACGGAGAAAAGCAGGCCTGAGATGGCGCCACCCAGAGGTCAGCTGCTGAACACCCTTCGCTTCGCCTCTTCAGCCCTTTCAGCAAATTCCAAATGGAAATAGTTCATGCAGTGAATACTTATGTAGGAACTGTTTTAATTTGTCCGGCTTGTTTTCTGGAATATGCAGCAGAGTTTATGGCTGGAGAATATTCCAGATTGTCTGGAATATTGTAGACCGTTTGCTGTGCTTGTTGACAGATGGCTCCACAGAGAGCATGAAGACGATGACCCTGCCGGAGCTGTCCTTGTTCATCAAGAAGCAGGAGCTGGAGCTGCGAGAGCGCACGGAGAAGGAGCGAGAAGAGGGTGAGCGACCCCTAGTGGCAGGGAGGGGGACGGCAGTGTGAGCCATCAGTCTGCATTAGCACCTCTGCCAGGTGTGGGTAGCGTCAGTGTGTGCTTCCCTGCTTAGCATGGCTGCGGAATGCTTAGCGAACAGCTTCTATAAACAGGTGTCCCTGCCCTGCTAGTTGCCCCCTCCCCCCATCTGCTCCTGTCATCACGCTGCCCCCGCACCCTACAGACGCCATCACGGAGGAACTGCAGAAGATAACAGCAGAGCAGTGCGAGCCGCCCGTCCTCCGGGGCGTCGACTCCCCTTTCTACCGCACTACAGAAATGCTGACTGGCATCAGGGAGAAGCCGCAGGTTCCGGTGCTGCCCGGCCTCCCCGCCGAGCTCCGGCACGCCGCCTCCACCCCAGACCGGCCCGATGGGCCCCCCCAGCCCTCTGAGCGTCACGTGCCTTGGTCCTTCACCCCCATCGACCGCTCCCTTCCTGGCCACACCCCCCACAGCCCATTGGTCCCTGATGAGGAGGCGGTGGGCCTGTTGTCCCCCAGTCCATGCCGGGGGGGTGCCGTCCCGGCCTACGAGAGCCTGTTTGACCTGGCTCTTCCCAGGGCCGCCCTTGTGTATGTGGCCAAGAGGACATCGGAGGCCCAGAGGGTAGCTGGAGGGGAGGTGGAGCCGGAGGAGAAAGAGGGGGAGGGTGTGGCAGCCACGTCGCCCCTGGAGGTCCTGGACCGGCTCATCCAGCAGGGCAGCGACGCCCATGACAAGGTGCTCAGGAGGTGAGCTGGGGGGGCTGGAGAGGAAGGCAACTGTGGGGGTGTGCCCTGCCTGTATGTGTCTGCCTGTGTGGGTATGTGACTGAGTGAGTCTCTCTGTCTGTCTCTCTCTCTCTCTCTCTCTATCTGTCTGTCTCTGTCTGTCTGTCTGTCTCTCTCCCCATATCTGTCTCTCTCTCTCTGTCTGTCTCTCTGTCTCTCTCTCTCCCCATATCTGTCTCTCTCTCTGTCTCTCTCTCTCTCTGTCTGTCTCTCTCTCTCTCCCCATATCTGTCTGTCTGTGTGTCTGTCTCTCTCTCTGTCTCTCTCTCTCTCTCTCTGTCTGTCTGTCTCTCTCCCCATATCTGTCTGTCTGTGTGACTGTCTCTCTCCCTGTCTGTCTGTCTGTGCAGAGAGGTACGGACAAATACAGAGTGAGAGACAGCTCTATCTCTTGCTCTATCTGTCTCTGTGGTGTCTCCACCTGTGTGCATCTCTGTGCCTTTGTCTGTGTCTGTCTGAGTCTCTCTGTGGCTCTATCTGTCTCTGTGTGTATCTGTGTGGCCGGGAAAGCACTCCCTGGACGTGCTCTGGGCGAATCACTTGGAGTTTAAAAGCAGTTGCAGATACTGTCCTCTTTGCCCCATGGTGTTGAGAACGAGCCTGCAATCCCAACAGTGGCTTTTCTGTTCAGTTCTCCACGTACAATCCTGCTTTGGCTGTTTCTCTGTCCCCGAAAAACAGGGCACTTGCATCACTCCTTTTAACGATAAAATTGAATGAGATGGGGTTGTGCAAAGAGGTGTCTTTGTGCTGTCCCCTTTGTTGAGGAATGAGAAGGACTGAACCATCAGAGAGCCGGTGTGTGTGTTGGCCTGCTCTGCCTGTCTTACAGTTGCATAGTTGGCTGCATACCACAGGCCCCTCCCTTAAACACTCTTTCATGGTTACTTCTTCCAGACTACCTTTGCCAAGCAAGTCAGCTGACTGGACGCACTTTGGAGGTAAACAACAGAGTATTAAAGTGGAAGGTATTGTGAAAATCAGCGAAAAATTATGGGAATGTTTTGTTTACACTGCTGCAGCTTCGAATGCACACCCAAACCCAAACTCTTATGTGGATTTATACCCGTTCGGGTTTTTTATTTTTAATCAGCGTATTTACATAGACTTTTAGCTTCTAGTGTTAAATCAGCTCCGCCACTCTAGTGTTAATCAGTGCTCAGCGCAAACGTCACATAAATAGGCATCTCCACATCCGGCTTGCCGGTTCTGTGAAGGCAGTCCCTGCTGGGAGAGCCTGGGTCAGTATGCAGCATGTCAGCTGGTTTCCGCTGCTCTTTCCTCGTGATCCGGGCCAGGCTCCGCCCCCCTGGACGAGCTGCACACGCTGCGCAGTCAGCTGATCCTGCTGCACAGCCAGCTGCTGTACGAGCGCTACAAGCGGGAGCAGCACGCCGTCCGCAACCGGCGCCTCCTGCGGCGGATCATCAACGCCACGGCGCTGGAGGAGCAAAATATCGCCATGGTAACGTTTGGTCTTGGCGGCCTGCTGCTGCCTGTGCTTTTAGCCCACAGAATATAAAAACACTCCTGAGCAAAAAAAAGGACTTTGGATGTGGGAGTCTCGTAGGTTGTAAGTTGGGGTCTTTTTTCCCCTCTTGGCAATGATCAGGCGCTTCAGTTGTTTTTGTAGCACTCTGTACCAAGCTGCTCATCCCCCTCCCTGTCCCCCCCCCCCCGTAGAAGGACCAGCTGAAGCTGCAGGACGTGGAGATCCAGTCGCTGCAGGCGAGCCTGCAGGTGGAGCAGCAGCGCTACCAGCAGCTGTGGGAGGACCGGGAGTCGGTGGTGACGCGGCTGTACAGTCAGGTCCGGCAGCTGCAGCAGAGCCGCGACGAGCACTACGGCAGGCACCAGGAGCTGCAGGTACGCTGCCGTCGCCATGGTTACGCAGCATGCCGTGCGACGGCCTTACTGCAAAGGGGTGCCTGCAAGTAGCATTAGATAAGTGTAAAGACCTAAATACAGAGGTGTCATGACAGCTGCCACATCCCTGACCGGTGAAGTGCAGGCCTTCTGTCTGATGTGATGTCACCAGACCAAGCTGCAGGAGTGTCAGAGGAGGACAGGTGAGCTGGAGGCCGAGCTGCAGAGGGCCAATAATCGGGTGTGCAACACGGGGCACCAGCTGAGCCAGCTGTCCGTCAAGGTGAGGCCTCCTGCGAGCCACGGTGATGTCATTCGTGGGTCTCCTTCGCCATCACTCTCTGACCAGGACAGTATGCTAGAGCTTTACAGATGTAAGAAACATGGTGTGACTGTCTTCTGGTAAAAATGATACATGTACACATTTCTGGATATTCTA